GCTAACGAAATAATTAATCTAATTGTTTTCAAACGAGCAATGGGTGCAAATACCTCATCATAGTCAATACCCGGTCTTTGACTATAGCTTTTTGGAACCAACCTTGCTTTATACCTCTCCACTTCACCTTTGACATTTTTCTTTGTCTTGTACACCCACTTCACTCCAATGACTTTTTGTCCTCTAGGGAGTGTGGCAAGCTCCCATGTTCCATTTCTTTCAATGACATCATTTTTTTCATTCATGGCACTCCTCCACTTCTTATCTTGTGTCACTTTCTCATAGCCTATGGGATCACAATCGGCAAATAGACAAAATAGTGTTAGATCACTAAATCCTTGAATTACCTCTTCGGTTTCTTCATAGATATCTCGAAGACTCCTCATGCAAGGGGGCCTTTCACTTGAGCTTCCTTCGGATGATGATGGAGATGCTTGCACATTGGTGGATGATGGTGGTGATGGTGGAGGAGAGTAAATGGGCAGCTCCATGATCTCATTATTGGGCTCCCCCTCTTCTTCAAAGAATGAAAAAAAATCATAGTCTTCTTGTGGAGTGTTCTAATCTCATTCATCTTCTTCATCAAACTCAACATCTCTACTAATGATTATCTTGTCATTACTTGAGTTGTAAAGTTTGTAACCTTTGCTTCTTGAATCATAGCCAACGAAGACAAATTTTTCACTCTTGTCATCGAGTTTGGTCCGTTTCTCATCTGTCACATGTGCATAGCATACACTTCCAAAGACCCGCAAATGAGAAACATTTGGCTTGATTCCTCCTCATGCTTCTTGTGGTGTTTTGTCTTGAACACTTCTAGCAGGACACCGATTTAACAAGTAGATGGCACAATCAATAGCTTCCGCCCAAAACTCCTTGGGTATTTTTTTACTCTTCAACATACTCCGAGCCATGTCAAGAATGATTCGGTTCTTCCTTTCGGCAACACTATTTTGTTGTGGTGATCTTGGAACCGTTAGAGGATGGTGAATTTCATTTTCTTGACAAAAAATTTTGAATTCATTTGATGTGAATTCACCTCCTATATCGGATCTAATTGCTTTGACTTTATACCCAATTTTTTTTTCAATCAAAGCCTTAAACTTTTTAAAAACACGAAACACCTCCGATTTTTGTTTTAGAAAATAATCCCACGTTTTTCGGTTAAAATCATCAATAAGGAGAAGAAAATACCGGTTCTTACCAAATGGTGGTGGATCTATAGGGCCGCAAACATCCGAGTGAACAAGTTGAAGTGGTTTGGTTGCTCTTGAAATGGATTCTTTGAGAAAACTCTTTCTAGCTTGCTTTCCAATTATACATCCCTCACAAAGTTGATCCGGGTGGTTAATAGAAGACAATCCGTTCACCATCTTCTTTCTAGATAACAAGGTTAGTCCTCCAAAATTCAAGTGCCCAAATCTCAAGTGTCATAACCAAGAATCTTTAACACATGCTTTCAAGTATTTTGCCACATCACTATAAATATTTAAAAAAACATTCTATTTCTTGTTATTGGCACTTTAGCAACCAAATTCCCATTTCCATATCTTATTAAAAGATTATGATTTTTCATGCAAATATCATAACCTTTCTCTAAGAGTTGTTCCAAGCTCAAAATATTATTTTTCATGTTTGGAACATAAAAAATATTAGAAATAATTTGGTGCCTTTCATCCTTCAAACGAATCAAAATATTATCTCTTCATATTACCGAAATTTGAGAAGAATCTCCAAAAGTGACTTTTCCACTCATCGATTCATCAGGCTCCGCAAACATCTCTTTATTTCCACACATATGATTACTAGCATCGGAGTCAAGGTACCACACGTTCTTGTGTCCCTTTTACTCTTCTTTGTATGCCAACAACAAGGTCGGCTCTACCTGTTCAACTTTGTCTTCAACAAAGTGTGCTCTTTCTTCCACAAAATCATTTCTACACTCGAAAGCAAAATGGCCATATCGATGACAATTGTAACATTGAATATGAGATTTGTCATACCTCGCTCCAAATGACTTTGAATTGTTGCCTCTTCCACGATGTGATTCTTGGTCTCTTTCTTCTTTGTTGGACACATTTTGGCCAAAGTTTTCTCCTCTACCCCAACCACTTCCACCACGACCTCCACGTCCACGTCCATGCCCTCTACTTCTTTGACTTCCATCTTGCCTTCTTTCTTTTTCTTTGAAAGAAAGTTTGGTTTGTAGCACTTGCTCCAACGACCCTTGTTTCTTCTTGCCTAGCCGTTCTTCATGAGCTAACAACGATCCCATGAGTTCGTCAATTGTCATTATGTCTAAATATTTAGGCTTTTCAATGGCTATGACAATGTAGTCAAACTTGGGGTCCAATGAACGGAGGATTTTTTCTATCACCCGAGTATCATTATAGTGATCATCACCATAAGTTCTCAAATTATTCACAGCCACCAAGATTCTTGTAAAATAATTTGAAACTAATTTGGATTCCTTCATACGTAAAGTCTCAAATTGACCTCGTAGAGTTTGGAGGCGAACTTTCTTGACTTTTTTCACTCCATTATGAGCAGTTTTAAGAACACCCCATGTTTGCTTGGATGTGGTTGCACTAGCAACCTTTTGTAACATAGAATCATCCAAACATTGTTAGATAAGTGAAAAAGCCTTTTGATCCTTCTTCTTTGTAGCTTACAAGACTTTCTTTTGGGCTTGACTTAAGGAAGCTTCATCTTGCAGTGTTGTGTAACCAATTGTTACAATCTCCCATAAGTCTTGAGATCCAAGAGTTGCCTTCATACGGATACACCAATTCTCATAGTTATCTTTGATGAATCAAGGCATTTGAAATGGAAGCATTCATCTCTCTCTCACTCTCTTTTTTCAACACTTAAGCCTAGCTCTGATACCACTTTGTTGGAATCTAGAGGACTATCACACACTTACAAAAAAAATATAATGGATGAGACTATTGAAGATTGGAAGAACTCTTTGTATTCACTCATATCCAAGTAGATGCATTAAATATGATATATATAGACTCTCATGCCATACAAACTAACCCTACTACATAATGCAATAATAAAAATAATAAAGACCCTACTTGGAAAATTAAAACACCTTATTTACTTTGTCCTCCACTAATACCAAATTGATGACCCACTAATACAAAAAACTAAATGCATAAAAAAAGCTCCTAAAACATGAAAAATCATGTTTAATATTATTTTTCCAACTGATATTCCATTTTCAGTGTATTGATTATTTACCATTATGGTTGAACCTTATCAAAGGGTTCAAAAGCTTATCAATTTTTTCATGATCCAAGGATTTAAACTAACTTTATGCCTAGCTTTGGATGAAATACTAACACCTAAATTTATAACAAGGATTTGTGTTTTGTGACCTGCTTGTCTGCATTGTATATAGTTGTTGTCAATTTATGTGGTGATTTCAGCTGGCGATATTCTGTTGACATAAGTATAGGTAAGATAATGAGTGTGTGGATGGCACAGTTTAGCTATGCACACAGCCTCTCTTATGTATCTACATTCTTTTACATGGTACTCATGCTTGTGCATTTTGACACTCTTATTCTATTCCAATGGCCTTGATTTAAAAAAAAAAAGTATTATGTGAGTGTGGTACGAGTAAGTCCCTTGGGTTATCAGAATTGATGTAAACTCGAGGTTTTGTTTTGGTTTGTAAGGTCAAGTAGGCTGTTTGGATCTTGACATTGTCTGGATTGATCTAAATTAAAAACTTTACTCCAAAACTTAAGATTATTTTCATGTTGTGCATCCTGTGAATTTACATTTTTACTCCCCTTTTGTTAATCACTTTTTATTTTTGTATTTCGTGTGTTGGTGTGGAAGGACAGGATTAGTTTATAATCAAGGTTTATCGTGATTATTAAACAAGTATGTGCTATATTTTTGGGGTTGCTTGTTTTTGCATTAGAATTATTTACAACTCTGTTTATTAGCACTTAATTTGATTGTGTATTGACCTTATTTCAATAAGAATAGTTTGAAAAAATGGCATCTTCAAGTCAAGTGGAGTCATGAGGACCGAGTAAGAATCAGTGGAAATGGACTGCTGATGAAGATGCTAAATTGATTGAGACCCTTTTGGAACTAGTTAACTCCGGAACACATTGAGTTGATAATGGGTTTAAACCAGGATATTTGAATGTCATTGAGCAATCTTTGTTAGAGAAGCTGTCGGGCAAAGGAATTAGGGCCAAACCACAAATTGAGTCACAAATCAAGGTTTTAAAGAGGGATTTTTTTTTGTCTATGAAACACTTGTGTTTCTTTTATCTGTTAAGCTTGAGTCTAATTATGTTTTCCATGAAAATGGTTATTTGGTTAATGACTATGTTATATAGTATTTGTTAAATTTTGAAAATTAGGTGTATTTGTATAAGATTTTCCACATTAAAGAATTATGGTAGAAGGAATAGGCACACATTTTGTGGGTTGATCATAGTCATTGTGTGTTGAATGAGTACCATTCATGAAGGATTATGTAGGATATTGATGAACGTACACATTTATATTTTTTTTATTTGTTGTTTATTATTGATTTTTATTATTTTTTAGTGAATTTTTTAATTATGTGATTCTTTGTGACTTTATTTACTACATATTTAATCTAATTTGGCAAATTTTAAAATTAACAAAAATATTCATTATAATGAAGTATGCAATAAATTGGAAATTTTATGACAAAATTATTTTGGTTAAATTTTATTTCATTCCAATAGAAATTAATTTTATCCAAAATTTGGAATGGAATGAGCATTCCATTCTAAGACTTAATCATAATTAATTGTCAAACATTAGAATGGTAATACACATTCCATTCTATTACCAAGTTTATTCTATTCTCATGTTCATTCTATTCTTACATAAATACATTACTGCGTACAAAACACGATGTTAGTGTTGTTACCTACTTCCCACTAGATGTCCTCAACTTCATCATCCGCCATGCATTGAGTGGCATTGCTTGGGATTCTATGATCCAGAACAAGGTACCTGAACAAACTCGAAAACAACTATGAAGCATACTACAACTATATCAGTATTGTTTACTCACTTTTAATTTTTCATTTCTAATGGTCTAGACTGCTTTCACGATGAAGAAGGATTATGGCAAGGGCGAGAGAGAGGCACAGTGGGCCACGGCTCAACACACGCTTCATGGCCTCCAGACTGCAAAAACTTCAAGCTTGTTCAATGAGAAGAAAATTACCGGGAGCTGTCTGAGATTGCTGAGCAGGCTAAGAGACGGGCTGAAGTTGCAAGGTACATACATGACCAAACGGTGTGCATAGACTTATTGACCATTTCAAGCATTTCCTGTAGAAATTTAGACAAAGACCATTGACTTTTGCAGATAGCTTTTAAAGTTTGTATGTAGGACATGTTTTTTATTTGTGTAGAAGTTCAATTCTTTGTGATTATTTTTGATAAATGTTCTGAGTAACTAAGTTTTATATTCTCACAAGATATGCAATTTCAGGTTAAGTTAGCTCCATACCCTTAATGGGCATATTGAATCAGTGGTCAAGCTGAAGGGATTGGATATTAAAACTATCCAACAGCACTATACGGTGTAAGAATAACGATGGTGGAACAAATTACATGCTATGAAGCAGCAAAGCAAAGAGTAAAAGGGGAATTTTTTCAAATGTATATTTATTTAGATGTTTATTTGATTATATTGTAGAGATGATAGGAATGTTGGATGAGATTTGTCATCAGTGGGAGAAAAAGGTTCATTGGAATGAAATGGATGAGAATTATAATTGATTACTGTATAAATCATGTTCCCTTTCAGTTTTGATAACCTTATTCGTATCTAGTTTGACTGTCTCACCACCTTGGCATTTAGTCCATCAATCCATCAATTGGTTGAATATGAAAAAGAGCATCAAATTGGGCAGGGCTGATCCTTTTAGACAGTGAGTGTAATAGTTTCATTGAGTGATATTTTTGCATGCTCTGAATATAAATATGATTATATATGGCCCTGTTTAGGCATTTTCTGCTCACAGGGGAAAGGCTATGGCCTATCTGTGTTTTGCTTCCACTGTGAACTGTTTGATGTCAGAAAATCAGGAGCCTTCAAATCTTTTTGGAAAATTAAGAAAGAAATTCTTGAGTATTCCTCACACAAGGTCTCCCCAGAATTGCAAAAAAATATTAACACTTGATACATTGCAAGGCACAATTAGGCCTACCAAAGTGAAAGGCATGATCAATACTAGTGAAATGGAAAGCACTTTCATAAGCTCAGAAAGCTAAAGTGCCTATCTGTTTCCTTCCTATTCAAATTGCCAAGAATTAGCAGTTGTCTCAGTAACTACCCCTCTGAATTATCTCTAATTCCTTAAATTTATAAGCCAATCCACAAGTAGGTAAACCCTCTCAAATCTATCGCTGACAGATGACCCCTCCACCCCCCGCCAACAAAACACTACATTATAAAACTTTTTGGGGTTGTGCAAAAAATTGGTCAAACATCATCACAAATATGCATATGAATAACAATATTGGCTCGAGGAGGGGAAATGTTTGTTAGTCGTTTCTAAAGAAAGACTTCACCGTCAAGAACAACAAATACGAGCCCACAAGATATTGAAGTTTTGAGCCTAGTGAATAAAATTATTTTTTGTCGAGTGGTTTCTTGTATTTTATGCTAAGTAATACTTATGTAGGTGTTTTCTTCTTGCTATGATGGACTTATATATATATGTGTGTGTGTGTGTGTTAAATTTTAAGATGTTAACACTGTAAATGTGTGCATAAACCACAAACCAGAAACACTGTTAATGTGTTAAATTTTTAACATTATAATGTTTTTAATATTATTGTGTTGGTTAATCAGTATAAGTTATTTAATTGAATTGTTAAAATAATTCAAAAATTAATAACTAAAAAATATTGTTTCACTTGATTTCCTACCTGACATACTACTTGATTATTTTGGATGGAATTTGAATAGGAATAGTACACTTGATCGGGTCGGAAAAGTTAAGAAAAATCTCTTCCACAAAATATCGGATAAACAGATGAAATATCATAATTCTATGGAGGTATTTGATCTAACATATTCAAGTGAGTATGGTATATTTTGTATTTCTCAACGTCCAGATGATAGGAAGTCCTTATACGTTAGTGAGGGTCTTGGAGTAGTCCATATTTGGGATGAGAGAGCAGGAAAATCTTCATTCTCATAGCACTTGCATGAGAATAGAATCAACACCGTAGATTGTAACTCAGAAAACAGTAACATCATGGCTACAAGTTCCATCGATGGGCTGGACTGCCTGTATTTGTGTTTTGAGATATATTGATTTAGATAAGATGAAATATTTAAAGACGGTTAGCCATAAAATGGTTGTCCATTCTGCTTATTTTTCACCATGTGGAAGTTGTCTTGTAACAAAGACATCAGTAATGTTCATGCACATGATCCTTTCAGTCTTTCTGTTCCAGCATGGTATTGCTTCAGTCTGCCATATCTTTGGACATTCGTCAATAATTGTTGGTGATACGTCTTGTAAATATTAGATTTGACTCACAGTAGATTGACTCAACATTATTAGTCTGGAGATTAATTATTGTAGTTGCTTCATAAGCCCATTAAATTATACTTCTAATTTTCACATCTATAACTCTTAAAGCACTGATGCTTTGTGCTCCTGACTACGTTCAATTTTATGTTTGCTGGATTTTAGGTTAATACTCTCCTCTTAAACCACCTTTAAAAGAGGTACTAGTCCAGTGCTAGGGCCTTGTTAGTAATAAATCTCTTGATTTAAAATTGGATGGGTGACGTAACACATGCAATCTTAGTTGAAATTCCTTGGACGTCTCAAAAATGTTCAACATGCAAATTGTTTGGTCATTCTAATGTCGGTTGTCCATTAGCTCCTAAACAAGATTATCCTCAAATTTAGAGAAAAAAAGAAGTCGGGATTAGAGATGAATGACATGATGGCTCCCAAAAAAAAAAAAAAAAGATAAGATGGAGGTGTCTCCGGTGGAAGGAACTAGAAACATAAGCAGTGGAGAATCATCCTCATATCATTTTACTGTTCTTTGCTCGAACCCTCCTCTAGAGCTTGGGAGCAGTTGCCAACTTGCAAAAAGATAAAGGAAAGGACACTTCCCATGTGGAGGAAAATGACAAGGCTGTTATGATTGTGCAGTAATTATGGTGAATAGTAAGGAATCAAACAATTAAGAAAGCAGGAGAAAATAACACACAAAGATTTACGTGGTTCGGCAATGTGCCTACATCCACGAGAGCGAGCGGCCGTTCTTTTTCATTATTCAAAGTAGGGTTACATCTTAAGTATTTATATAACCCTAATACGGATGTATTTACAAAAATACCCCTGTACCGTACCGCGGGGGCGTTGCCCCCGCACCCCCAACTAATCAGCGTCCCTTATATATAAATCCCGCAAGGCAGATGCCGTCGCGGGCTCTACTCCGCCCGCTCTGGCATCTGCCTCCTTGTATTATGCACACATATTCTAACAAATCTCCACCTTGGAAAATATTCACCCCTTAGGAGAAAAAAGAGGACATGTATTCGGGAACTCCACCGGGGACGCTGAGTTGAGGCATCTCCCATCTAGCAACTAGAGACATTAATCAAGTCCAAGCAGTGCTTGAACTTGTCTGTAGTAACAGGCTTTGTCAACATGTCTGCTGCATTCTCAGAAGTGTGAACTTTCTCAAGTAATAGTTCACCAGAAGAAACCAGTTCCCTGATCTTATGAAACCTCACATCTATATGTTTGGTCCTCGCATGATACACCTTGTTCTTTGCCAAATAAATGGCACTCTGACTGTCACAATGCAATTGAACTCCACCTTGCTGGGCACCCAGCTCCTGGACTAAACCTGTAAGCCACAAAGCCTCTTTGGCAGCCTCAGCTACTGCCATATACTCTGACTCAGTAGTAGATAGTGCAATTATAGGCTGTACCATGGACTTCCAACAAATAGGTCCTCCCACAAGAGTAAACACATAACCTGTGGTAGACCTCCTGTCATCCAAGTCCCCTGCATAGTCTGCATCCACATATCCCATAACTGAAGGGTCACTCTGTTGTCTGCTAAACATGATGTCATAGTCTGTAGTGCCCCTCAAGTATCTGAAAATCCACTTGACTGCATCCCAATGCTGTCGACCCGGATTTGAAAGAAACTTGCTAACCACGCTGACAGCTTGTGCCAAATCTGGTCTTGTACAAACCATAACATACATCAAACACCCCACTGCACTAGCATATGGGACCTTTGACATGTCATGAACTTTATCATCTGTCTTTGGGCATTGAGCGGTAGACAATCTGAAATGATTCGCCAAAGGTGTACTTACTGATTTTGCATAACTCATGCTGAACCTGTCCAACACCTTCTCAACATAGCTATGCTGAGATAGCCATAATCTCCTGGAAGCTCTGTCCCTGCGAATCTCCATCCCAAGAATCTTCTTGGCCGCACCCAAATCCTTCATGTCAAATTCTCTACTCAACAAAGTCTTCAACTTGTTGACCTCACTCATACTCTTGGCAGCAATCAACATATCATCCACATAAAGTAACAGAAAAATAAATGAATCATCATCAAGCCTTTTTACATAGGCACAACAATCATACTCACACCTTTTGTAGCCAATTCGGATCATGTAAGAGTCAAATCGTTTGTACCACTGCCTCGGAGACTGTTTCAGCCCATAAAGTGATTTCTTCAAATTACAGACCAAATGTTCCTCTCTAGGGAGACTGAACCCTTCTGGCTGTACCATGTAAATCCGTTCCTCCAAGTCGCCATGAAGGAAAGCTGTCTTTACATCCATCTGCTCCAACTGCATATCTGAATGTGCTACTAGTGCCAACACTGTCCTGATGGAAGTGTGTCTGACCACGGGGGAGAAGATCTCATCATAGTCAACCCCTTTTCTCTGTGAGTAACCCTTTGCTACTAGACGAGCCTTGAATTTTTCTCTCTCCTTTTCTGATACTGCTTCTTTCTTCTTATACACCCTATTGCTCTCTTCCCCTCGGGAAGTTCCACCAACTCCCACGTCTGGTTCTTATGCAGAGACTCCATCTCCTCCACCATAGCACCCATCCATCTACTTTTCTCTTGGCTTTGTACTGCCTCCTGAAAAGTTGTAGGATCCCCGCTACTAGTAATAAGCGCATAAGAAACCAAATCTTCAAAAACATACCTGGTAGGTGGCTTGATATTGCGTTTGGGCCTGTCTGTGGCTATACTATGATGTTGTTGATCACCTGAGATAGAACGC